TCTGTTAATTCAGCCCGTATACACTGTCATTGCAATTATTGTTTTGGGCCTGTTGGTGTTTTCCCTGTATCAACGGCACTTAGAATCTTCATGGGGTAATATTGGACAAGCGTTGTTGTTTCATCAGGTAACTGAATGCATAAAACTCTTTACACCTGTCTGTTATTAATTATTATTATCTATATGACGCGAATCATTGTTTAGTCTAGTTTGAATTTTAGCTAACACTTTTTATTTGGGTGATTTTTTTTTTAAACGAAGAGTTTATCACTAACATTGATTGACAAGTCTAAAGTCTTTTGTATATTTCTCTGTGAAAAAAAGTGATCAGATATCTGCCACTTAGAATATCTGAATCGCTCTAATGTATATATTGTCAGCTTTCAAGAAGTTCCTCCTTGGATTAGACAGATATTCAGTAATAATCAATGAAAATTGGAGGATTGATGGTAGACTGTTTCTTTTTTTTTAAAACCACTTTCTCAAAATCCGTCACTGACATTGTGCTACTGGAAGAGTACAACTGCAGAGTCTAAGAAAGACAAACTCATTTTGTAACCTCATCGAAGCTATACTGAAGGCAGTTAATTAACTAGTAACTCAAAACAGTGCGGTGCGACTGAAATTTCAAACAGTTGCAAACAGCTGACGAAATTAATGATACATAGAAAACGTAAACAGCACACAAAAAAAAAGAGAACTAAGTCGTTTATACATAAAAGTAAACTCTAGTGATAAAAGGATTCAATTGCTGAATCTCTGGTTGATACTTTTCATACGAGTAGAATTTCCCATTGATCGTTGTTCCTTGATTTGTTGATGAACTGAGACAAAAATCGGAGGCTGAAACCTTAACAGGTGGTTTTCATAACGGAGCCACTCAGCCAACACTTGACGTTAAGAGTCTAACTCACAGGACAGCATAGCAACCAGTAGTCTAAACATGTTCGAACACCATTCGTTTTTCTCGGACTCTGTGCAGTTCACGGGACTTTAGGCTTACAATGAGCTTTTTCCAACTCTCCTGGGTGGACCTGTTTGTCCACTAATAAATAGTCCAGGGATAAAGCACAGAGCACTCTCCTTTGTTCTTCACTTTTGCGAAAACACCTTCCTACTTGTGAAGGAACATGTGGCCATATGCGAACATTTCTATGGATAGACCAGAGTTTACCCACCGTCATTTTCTATTGAGGCATTTTTCATTACACTCTTCGAATTACTGCATGAATATCTTCTCTCTCTTTTTTTATCTCCCTCAGATCCGTAAGTATTTATTATTGTTGGATTCACGTAAGGACCATGTAAAATATTGGAGGCTTCAACTACTATTATTGGTGGCAAATCCACGTTCATCAGCTTCTCTTGTCCAATTTATGAATGGTTTAAAAAAAGGCGGTCTATATGTGGTTGGTCATGCAATCTATGGAAATCCAGATGAGTTTGCAGACCAAACAGATCCATGTTTAAATCAGCGATGGTTAGTTTAAAATATTCTTGTTCATTTTCATAGCTGTACAATCGCAAATATACATATGGTTGTTTTGTATGTGTGTGTGTGTACATTAAATTTGTCAAACGAAAATACAATTAGTAAGTTCAGGTGAGTTGGATGTTAACATAAGAGAGTAGTAACAAAAGTGATGAGTTGTCACAAACGATTGTTAAAGAAGAGTTACGCAATAACGTGAATAGTTTGATGAAAGAGTTGTACTCAGGGTGGACATGGAAACAAAATGACTTAACTTTTGTTTGTATGCTTGTTTTTCTAGCTACTTAAAACCCTTGCGTTATTCCGTATGTTATTTTGTTTCCATGTTCACCCTGAGCACAACTCTTTCATCAAACTATTCACATTATTACGTAACTCTTCTTTAGCAATCATTTGTGACAACTCATCACTTTTGTTACTATTCTCTTATACCAACATCCAATCGAATTAATTAGTTAATTAATTAAATGGGAGGAGGATTAAAGACATTTATTTTCAGACGCATAGATGAACATGTAGTCATGCATCGATGTGCACTAGTTTTGTTTACTAGTTCCCGCATATAATAATAATGATAAAAATACACTATATAATCTTGGGTGTTATTAGATGAAAAACTTCGACGGGAACACGCTGGATTCAGGAGAAACAAGTCATGCATTGATCAGATCGCCACATTACGAATCATCATTGAACAAAGCTTGGAATGGCAGTCACCTCTTTATCTCAACTTCATCGACTTTGAAAAGGCCTTCGACAGCATTGATCGAGAGGTGATTTGGAAACTACTACGCTACTATGGGGTGCCACCGACAATTATACATCTCATCCAACAGCTGTACGACAATGCTGCATGCCAAGTAATCCACAACGCGAAACTCATGGAATCCTTCGAAGTGGAAACGGGAGTAAAACAAGGCTGCCTACTATCGCCAATGATTCTCCTGATTGCGGTAGACTGGATAATGCGACATACAGCGGGCAATGAGGGAACAGGCATAAAATGGACTCACACAAGAAACATGGAGGATCTGGACTTCGCCGATGATATATGTCTGATTTCCCACAAACTGGAAGATGTGCAAGTGAAAAGCAACAAGTTGGCAGAAGAAGCATCCAGAGAAGATAGGACTTCAGGTGAACATAGAGAAAACAGAGGTAATCAAGATTCCTGGACAAGAACAACAACAGACAACAATCAGCATAAATGGGAGGAACCTGAAAGAAACAACCTCCTTCACATACCTACCTACCTGGGAAGCACCGTTTCAACTACAGGCGGACGGAACTGACGAGGATATCAAAGCAAGAATCGGAAAAGCAAGACAAGCTTTCATTAGTCTCAAGTCTGTGTGGAGGTCAACAGCACTCAGCATCAAAAATAAGATCCGGATTTTCAACTCCAATGTAAGGAAGTCAGTGCTAATATACGGATCAGAGACTTGGCGCGTCATAAAGAGCATCTCAAACAAACTACAGACCTTCATCAACAGCTGTCTTCGCTCAATACTCAAGATCAGATGGCCGGCCAGAAAAAATCAGCAATAGAGATCTCTGGCAATGAGCGAACCAACGAGGAACCGATTGTGAAACAAATAGGCGGGAAGAAATGGAGATAGATTGGCCATACTCTTAGGAAACCATCAAGTGACATCACTAGACAAGCCATTGCTCGAGTGGAACCCGAAAGGGAAGCGGCGAGTTGGTCGTCAGGGCGAGGGTGACTTGGAGGAGGTCATGTGAAGAGGAGATGAAAACGTGTGGGTAGACTTGAAGCTAGGTGAAGACTCTAGCAGAGAACAGAACGCAGTGGAGACGTGCAGCTGAAGTCCTATGTTCTTGTAGGAATTAAAGGAAACAATAAATAATAAATAAATTAGAAACTGACTAACTCAATGAATACGTTTTTAATTCCTAAAAGCTAAGCAGATGATTTTAAGCTACATCATCTGCAGGTTGAAGCTTTTAATTCTAAACATCCTAGGGAATTATTCTAGATAACGTGTACCTCCGTACGTGGGTCAGGTCAATGATCATAAAATTAGTGAATTCGTATTATGTTCTTGTGTATCCACTGCTAACTTTTTGATCCGTATATAATTTAAGCAACACTGGTGTTTTACGTGGGTTGTGGTCTGATGTGTTTGATTCGCAGCTTCAAATAAATCAATTTTTCTTTTCTTATGTCTGTACATTCAATCTCAGTACAATCCAACTTTGTTATTTAGATATAAGGGCACTAATAGTCACACTAATAGTCAAAAGCATATTATCTATTCTTACCCTTTGCTGCAGCTAGTTCTAACAACCGTAGATGTAGAATAAAAATGAAATGAAACCTTCCAAAGATGTGAGACAGAAAAAAATTGAATTACAAAATATTTCCGGTTTCTATCTGATGAAACGAGTAAAACATGGTCAAGGGAACCTAATTACCAAAGAGAAGAAACAAAGACAGCGATGAAATGATCACTTCAAAGGGCACCTTCACCATTCATCACCAGCAATTCGTTTCAAAATTTTACCGAAAGTGGGCACTTTACTGCCACTTGACACCAACCCTCCATAAAAAGCAGAAATCTTGATGTGTTGGTATGCTGGGATTTGATTTGATTAATTTGTAGAATTTTATCATCAGTTGATATCGGTTAGAGAACTGTAGAAAAACCTGGGAATAACGGACATCTGTTACGTCCTAGTTTGAGACTAGAGACTGACCCTATTCAGGTAGGTAGTTACCTGGGTTCTAGTGAGAAGTCGTGACCAGTAGGATACAGACATTGTGTCGGGTGTCTATGGTTTATTGGTCTACGAGCTCGCCTTGTAACCGGGAGGTCCTTGATTTGAAACCCGGTGAGTGCATACTGATGAAGGGTCCCAAACTAGGACGAAACAGATGTCCAGTATTCCCAGCTGGTTTTCCAATGGTTCTCTAACCGATGTCAGCTGATGATGAAATCCTGTAACCAAGAGATCCTGAATGTCGTCAAGTTGCTGAAGTCCAGGAAGGCAGCAGGACCAGACGGAAGCAGTGAGAACGGACCCAGAGACCGCAGTGGATATGCTGACGTCACTATTGCAAAACGTTTGAAAGGAAGGAAAGGCACCTAATGATTGGAAGAAAGGCTACCTTGTTGAACCACCACAGAAGGAAGACGTAGGCCTCTGCAAGAACTGGCACGGAATCATGCTCTTGTCCACTCCAAGTAAAATAGTAAATCGCATCATCCTGTAGAGAATAAAAGATGCACTGGAGATAGAAGTCCGCCAACCGGAACAACCTGGATTCAGGAAAGGAAATCATGTGCTGGTCGAATTGCAGTTGTGCGCATCATCATTGAACAGAGCATAGAATGGCAGTTGGATCTCCAACTCAATTTCATCCACTTTGAGAAGACTTTCAACAGCGTTGACGGAGAAGTAATTTGGAAACTACTTCAACACTACGGAGTGTAGTCCCCTAAATCTGTATCCACCTCATTCCACAGCCGTGTGATGATGATGCCACATTCTAAATGATTCAGAACAGAAAACTCAGGGATGCCTTTGAAGTGAATAGATGGGTAAGAAAAGGCGGTGGTGGTATGAATCATATTGCAGACCTCTTGGGGGTAGAAGACAGGAATACGTTGGACCGATGTGAAGAATCTAGAAGATGTTAACTTTGCCGACGATTTATGTTTAATGTCACACAAACTCGAAGACTTACAGGCGGGGAAACCAACAAGTTGGCAGAAGAAGCTGGCAGCAAAGACAAGACTTCAAGTGAACATAGGGATGATGGGGTAGGCGAAGCAAACCTTCATCACTCTGAAGTCAGTTTGAAAATCTTCAGAACTCCGCAGTGTAAAGAACAAGATTCGGATATTCCCCAGTAATGTTAATTGTTCATAAAACCTCATGTGATGTGAAAAATGTTACTTTTCGGAATATTCCTTAAAATTACGCAATGCTTAGATTCAACTGAGTTATGAGTTTATCAACAGAGCAGTTGGGTTTCCAAATAGTCTCATCATGTCACTTGGTGGAATAGTTGTGAATAAGGGTGCATGTTATTATCTGTCCTAATCCTGTTCAAAGTTCTTGTGTAGATGCTGCTTTTTTTTAGTAACTGTTGTTTTTACTAACTGCATGCACACAGTGATAGAAAACTTGGTTTTTCTAGCCAAAAATTTCATATTTTCTGGTAGATGTAATAAAGTCAGTTTCTACGTGGATTTAATTCAATTATTTTATGCATTACTTTGAAAAAGCAACTAGAATAACTTATCGGGTTGTGTTTACTTTCTATGCTCAGGTATTGGACACAATATGTGAAGTATTTGAAAACTAAGGCATTCGTCGAGATAACCATTGATAGAAATATACGCAGAGCTATATCTCATCTGATTCGAATATCCGGTCTGGGTGCAATGCGTCCAAATACAGTGTGCTTAGGATTTTATGATGATAAACCGTCAATCGTGAGTTCTTCTTGTCTGTCTACTACTTGATATATTTGTATGATGAATTTATAAACCAATTTTTCACTTTTGGTTTGTTATGCTTACTAAATGATAATAATAATAACAATCCTCTTCAAACATTTGGTGTGTGTGTGTGTGGTTATTTATTTTTTTGACAGTTGCGTTATTCTTGATCTTTGTTGATCTATTTCATAGGATGTTTTGGCGCAAATTTGGAAAGAACGCAAAACAAAAGCGTACAATTCCTGGCCAAATCATATTCACTCGTCTGATTCTACTGACTTGATTGTTGAAAGTAGTAATTCTCAAACCAATCATGGTAATTTTATTGATGTTGGATTAACTTTTTTTTTTTAATTTTTACTATCCATTGTCAGTAGTGTTACAGTTACCTAGGCGAAGGCGCGGAACTGTTATAAAAATCCAATGTGCAATCATGACAAGTTATTCGTCTACTCAGTGAACATTTTTGAAGCACTGTGCATCTATAATGACATCATTCTTAAATTATTTTGAGGGAGAAGTAACTAATATCAAGCATGATCTCTTAATTGTGGTGGACTGGATCATGGGGATGAGAAGACAAGAATACGTAATATGGTGGAAGTTAGAATTCTTGGGTCATTTAGTTCAGATCCCAGTGGCTGAATGGTCTACGAGCTTGCCTTGTAACTGGAAGGTCCTAGTCTTGAACCCCGGCAGGTACGTACTGTTGAAGAGCCGCAAACCAGGACGAAACAGGCGTCCAGTACTCTCAGCTTTTCCAATGGCCCTATAACCGATGTGAGCTCATGATGAAATCATGTAACCAATCGAATCAAATCCATGCAAACCAACATTTTTAGTGCATTATTTCTGGTATATATGTCATACGTCATGAAAGAACTCTTTATCGGGAAACAGAAACAGCATTGACCACATTTGTAGCAGTGTTTGTTTGGGATATGTATGAATTTAGTTTGGACCCCTGGATATAATATTCATTGATTATGTTTAGAATTTATCGACGAGTGAATCAAAATATTATGTTTTATTTCTTTCTTTTTTTAATAATATTAAAAATTCCCAAATTCATTAGGCTCTTTAATTAGCAGCAATGAACTATTGGCTAATTTTGGTTCACTTCAACACCACGATTCAACTGCTTCATTTGTCAGTCAAAATGTTACAGAAGGTCAACCACCATCAGCAGATGATCGTATGCATCGTCTTACATCACAAGAATATGTCAGCATTATTCGAGAGATTCTTAACATGGAGGTAAGCAGCCATATTTGTTGTTTGATGGGTTTACAATACTAAGTTGTCAGTAGGTGGGGGTGGGATAGTCTAGATCTGGCTTTTTATTGTTTCCTAACCTTTTCTACACCCCTTTTTAAATCTCAGTTCAACTCTGAAAAGTCAGAGAAATTTTATGACTATATTATTCAATTGACAAATCATCTGCTGTCCGACTGATTGATATGAGATAATTCTACATTGGTTAATATCTAGCGAACATTTGATGCGATACCAGGTGTTTCGTTTTAGATTTTTTTTAGAAAACAGAAAGATTGAGTGAAGAAATATTTACTTTTCAGTTAGATCCTCATCTCTGGTTCTATCTACTCTAATATACATAGCATTTTTATTGCAATACACAACAATTTAGCAATCAAGTGGTGGTGATACGTTTGTCAACAGTAATTAGTCAGTGTCAACATGCCAATGGGGTAATAATTAACGAAGAAAATTAATATACACAATTAAAAGGTAGAAATGGTTACAAAACGTGGATTGCATAATGCATAATTTGGAAACATTGAAGAGTAATTAAGGAGTAGTTGTGTGCATACGTTGATTACGTAACAGATTGTCAAAGAAAATGAAACGATTTGGACAATCTGTTACGTAATCAACGTATGCACACACTTACTCCTTAATTACTCTTCAATGTTCCAAAATTATGCATTATGCAATCCACGTTTTGTAACCATTCCTACCTTTTAATTGTGTGTATTAATTTTCTTCGCTAATTATTACCCCATTGACATGTTGACACTGACTAATTATTGTTAACAAACATATCACCACCACTTGATTGGTAAATTGTTGTGTATTGCAATAAAAATACTATGTATATTAGAGTAGATAGAACCAGAGATGAGGATCTAACTGAAAAGTAAATATTTCTTCACTCAATCTTTCTGTTTTCTAAATGTCTAAATGGGAATTTTTTCTATATTAAATTTTTTGGCATTATTGAAATATATCTAATCATACGCTTAAAAAATATTTAAGTAGTATGGTGTTATCTATAGAAAATTAGTATTAGTATTTCGTGGAACTTGGAACTAATTAATTTTTTTCAATGGTCTAGTCAGCATTTTCAGAATCCCGTTCCTATGATCACTATTGCCACTACTGTCGACGACAATATTATGTGACTAACTGTCTGATTTTTAACATAGCACTTTGCACAGAAATGCAGCAGTTCAATTTGCCACACTCCATGTAGCATAAATGATGTGGAGAAAGAATAGTAACGTGGAATAAACACGACGGTTTATTGGATACACAAGATGACAAAGAGTGAATGCATCTGAGCCAATGAGAATGATTTTGAGCCTAATCACCAGTAGTCTTCAGCCTTTAGTTGTTGTTTTTTTAAAGCATCCTGAATACCCCAGCCAGACAGCCCCTACACCCCTATAAGTGGTTCAAAACAACTGTCAAAGTTTTCATGGACAATATTGTGTACGTTTATATTGGAACCTTACCGAGTAGTGGTCACTATCAAACAGGGGGTTCACCTCACTGTTTTTTCTCTATTTTTGCTTTTTATTTAAACATATCATAACTTAGTTACGAAGGAATAGTGGCCATAATACTAATAATGAAACAGAGTTATCAACTTCTTTTAGTAGTTCATTAATGAAAAGTTGTGTTAAAAATAGTGGAGTTGTATATCCTCAAAATTTGACACACAACTTTGAATCACAAAATTATACCTCACAACAACTAACGAGTATTTTAAAAGGCTACTGAAATAAAAAGTTTCGTTGATATTAGATAGTTGGAGGCAGTTGACAGGATGCCTTGGACCTAGGTTTCGTTCTAGTTGGCTCTCGTCAGCAAGGCGAAACCTAGGTCCTAGGTTTCCTGTCGATTGCTTCCAACCATCTAATATCAACAATTTCAAGTGCACCGCGATAGTGAGCCACCTAGAATGCTGGCCACTTTGCAAACTTGTCTGATACTGTGGTGAGAGCTGGCTGCTAGCCAAAGTTGGTAGACAGTAATTGACGTCAATGTTTATGTCCCCAATATTGGTGGTGAGAAAATGAGAACAAAGGCTTTGCGTAGGCGCATACAGTTAGCATATGGATGATCTGACACAGCCACAAGGAGATGCAAGGTTAACTTTCTGTAAGAAACAACCAATCAAAAGACTGTATTTTCTACTGACAATAGTCTACAATAATGTACATTAAAATCTATAAATATGTGTTGATTTTCCTTAATAAACGATCTGTTGCCTGGCCCTTGTCTTCTGTTGTTACAATAGAATTCAGTTTGCCTCAAACAAAGCACTAGACACACTACACCAGTTGACTGACTAGTATGCAATCAAAGTATAGAAAACTTCGTTTGTCACTCAGAACATTTGTTAAACTATAAAGGGTTTCTTGTAGTTTCTTCTTCTGCTTGTGTTACAAGTGTATAAGTGTTTGAATTGTGCTATGCGTTATTATTTGAACATTATAAAATGTAATATTCATGTTACTGGTTAGTTTTTGTAATCTGTTGTTTGGATACAGCCTTGTTTTTATCATGAATTCTCTCCAGTTTAACACTTTTCTATTAAATTCAATTTCAGACTAATGTTGTACTTGCTAGAAACTTTGACAAAGTGATTTTCGACGGAGGTATGTCTGGTTGGGATGTAGCACGCCGTTATTTCCATAATTTATGCCATCCAAATAATCGGTCATATCGATTCGATTCTGGTTACAATGGAGATAATAATGGGGATACAATGATGACTGTTTCCAGTTCTATGCCACAAATTAATCCGCATAAAATAAATAGTTCAAAGACTATATATTTTGATATATGGCCAGTGAATCTGTTAGAGTACAACTTGGAACAAACCACCAATTCAATGCTAACAGAAGAAATGGTGTATGAACAAACACTTGATCGTACTGGTCTTTTCCTTCTACAACTTGCTTGTCTAGTAGCCAGATCACCATACTGGCGTAAACGTCGTCATCCACCGAAATTACGTGCATTCTTTCCATATTTCTCTTCAATGGGTCGAGTTAACGCTATTAATGGAGATGTGATTACATCGTCGGATAGAGCTCATTCTCGATTGTCTACTTTGCTGAAAAATTTACGAATTCCTGTAAGGCCTTATTTTGTTGTTATATAATTCCCTTCGTTTATACTTTGTGTTTCTACTGAAATTGGCTATTCATTTGCTATAATCTAATCGAAGATATTTAAGAGTTTTTACTATAGACGCGTATAATTATTTTATTTATTTTGTTATTTATTTTTGATTACAGCTTGATTCCACACCGTACTTTATGGTACAGGTATGGAATTTTCAGCATGTGATATCGGTAGCCCGAATTTCGCAGGCCGACCATAGATATCAGGTGTGCGTCGGCAGGGGATCGAACCCCGGACCATGTGCATGGTCGGCGAGAGTCGTAACCACTGTGCCACCGACGCACACAGCTTTTCAGAACCAGTTAAACTGCTCACAAATTGTTTCCCGGCCCTACATCCAGCTTAGTGAACGAATAAACTGCAAGTATTAGCATCTGTTCAAGCAACCAGTCTTCTTCAAACTAGAATTCATAGATGTTTTTGTGTGTGAGATGCTAATGCTATTTATTCATGAAGGAATTTCTGTCCATAAGCTTCTTCTTGTAGGCTAGCCTCTGTTTCTGCCTGCAGAATCACTTGATTGTGTGACAAGATGTAACTGTTTACTACTATCATCTTCCTCATGTATTGAATAAAGAAAGAACGCACATAATTGCAGGATAATGCAAGCTCGTTTTATTCCATGGATTCTCTGCAACTACGTACATTCTAAATAAAAAAATCATATGTGTTACAAAATGGTGTCTGAACATACTTTTTACAATGATTTCAAGTCACACGTAGACAGCATAAGCAACATAATTTCAAAGATGGTGTGAGTAGACAATTATTTAGTGTTAAAAAGTAATAACTATTTATATACTAATTAGACAAAGAGTGGAATACAAATTCCTCTTGGAGACAACTATGAACAACTGGAGACAAGATAGAACAACGGAGTGTTCAAGAGGGTGGGGTGAAAAGTAGTGAAGTGAAATTATAAAATAGACAAAATAATTAAATTTAGTAGATTTAGAAGCTTAACAGTGAGTTCAATTCAACGAGTGAAAATCAAAAACAAGATTGAGTGGATTTTTCAACTGTCCCATTACTTCACCTGCCCATGAGAGGAGAGCGTCTGCTAGATTCTTCGATCATATCCCTAAAAGTCTCCTAATGAAAGACAGCAAATTATCCTCGAGTACAATTGACACGGGATATACAGTGGAAATTAGTCAGGCTCTCAAAATAATCAATACGCAAAGAAAAGCATGGTTACATCAGTTCACAGAAGCCATTGCCATCAAACGACTTCAAGCCAACCTATGCATACAGAAAGAGAGTGTGACTAATCTCTCACTATCCTGGTAACCATGATTGTTTTGTTCTTGGGCTTTTGTGTTTGTTTGTTTTTCTGTTGCATAACATTCCACTCAATCTTGATTTTCACTCGTTGAGTTGAACTCACTGTTAAGGTTCCACGTCTACAGACATCCTAAACTATGTGTACAAAAAACAATAGACTTCAACCTTCGTCTGCAATGGACTACTTTACCTATTTAAATATGATTGGTCATTAGTATGTACTGTTGTTTTACATAGCTGAGTACCTGTCATACCTTTTATTTATTTTAATTGTAAGCTATGCTAGTTGTAAAGCGTTTGTAGAGCAACTACGAAGTGATATCATCTCGCTAGATTTGCCTTGTTTAAATTATTCTATCTATTTTATAATTTTACTTCACTATTCACCCCTACCCTCCTGAACACTCCACCATAATATGTACAAATTTACTCCGTTGTTCTATCTTGTGTCTTGTTGTTCATCGTTCTATCCAAGAGAAATTTGAATTCCACTCTTTGTCTAATTAGTATATATAAATAGTAATAATTGTGTGAGCTCTAAATAAAAACAATGGATTGTTGACAAACAAAAGTAGAAATGATATCATGCTTATGAGGTCGTGTATTTTACTAAATATATGCAATAAGTCATTTAAAAAAACAAGAAAGAAATTAACTGAGCAAAATATCCGTGTTTTTCTTTTTTAAATACGGGCCAAACGCGTGAGGTGAATAAAATTCAGATGATGCCAAATATAGAGAAACAGTTGTGAATAGACTATCTGTGTATACTAACTTATCAATACTGAATTGAATAGTTGGAAGTTGAGCTGTATTTATACTAAGTGTATAGGGGAGGAATGTCAACATTTATGAGAGTGTATACCTCTGCTTATACAGCTATATGACAACGCCAGCGAAACCTTTGAAGTGAATACAGAATGGAGTAAGACAAGACTTCCTGTTATCACACTGGTGATGGTATTCCTAATTGTTGTGGGCTGGATTATGCATCAGACTGTGCATTGGGAGTGAGAAGACAGGAATACGTCGGACCGATAAAAAAAACACTAGAGGATCTGAGTTTCGTAGATTATTTATTTCTAATGTCACACAAACTCGAAGACCAACAAGTTGTTAGAAGAGAGGCTGTCAGCAAAGTCAGAACTTCAAGTGAATATAGAGAAGGTGGAGTTGATAAAGATAACCAACCACCAACCGACCAACCAGCACTAATCACTATCAACGGGAGGAATTTGAAAGAGGTCATTTCCTTCACTTATCTAGGCGGCATTGTTTCAGTTACAGGTGACAGCACAGACTAGGTTGTCAAAGCCAGAATCAGAAAGGCAAGATACGGATTTTCAATACAAATATGAAGTCAGTCACTTCTATATGGGTCAGTGACTTGGTGCTAGCGTCACGAAAGCATTTCTAACAGACCACTGCAGACTTTAATCAACAACTGCCGTCGCTGGCTCTATGCTGAAGATCAGTTGGCCAGAAAGAATGATCAGCAAAGGTTTCTGGGAACGAACCAATCAAGAACCTTTTGCCCAACAAATGTTTCAAAGAAAATGGAGATAGATCGGACACGCGTTGAGGAGACCGTTACGTGACATAGCACACCAGGCCTTCGGGTAGAACTCGAAAAGAAAACGACAAGTTGGGTGTCTAAGGTTGGCATGGAGGAGGTCGTGTGAGTAGTTGATGAGAGACTATGGGCAATTGTAAAGCCAGCTAAAGAGGACCACAGAGAATAGGACAAAATGGAGATTGTGCTGTTGAAGCCCTATGTTTCACTCGGAATCCAAGGGGAAAATAATAATAATAATAGTATCTTCCAATGCGAAGTATTAAGCTTGAAGATCTCCATGGTATCATTCAAAAGAAGAGGTGTTCAGCAAAGAATTACTCATTTTAGGGTGTTATATCTACGGTGCATTTCAGGTTGTTGCATGAGACAGTACACCTCGAGAATGATATTGCTGAAAAAAGTAACTTTTCACTGAATGCCTCTTCCTTCATATTACTAAATATTAAACAGTTACTTACTTACTTTAATAATAAAATTAATTTTTCCCGTGAAGATAGACAAAATTTGCTTATGGTTCGTCTATGTTCTCTGTTAAAGGTACTTCAATCCTTGTTTTTACCTACTTAGGCCGTTATATTAGGCCACTTCTTACCACATTTATGCACAATGGATAAATGAAATCGACGATGTAATTGGATAATGCTAAAAGTAGATAATTTCAAATCTATTATCTCAGAAGTATGCAACCCATTGTTGTGGGAGTAAGTATTCACAGCTGATATTTACTGCAACAAACTCATGACTGACTGGCTTATTCACCTGGCTTGTGATCGATCCTAAGATATCCTGATTCAAACTCACGTTAATAAATAAATATTACGGGGAATTATTCCTAGTAGCAGATAGTTTCAGGGTCGTTAATCTTTAAATCTTTAGTGTAATTGCCTATTGTAGCTATCGTTTGCATTTTCTGTATTTATTTATTTGTTTTTTGATAGGCGGAAATACATTTAGTCGACATGGATAGTACATTGGTGGGACGAACTTCGTCAAACAACAACAACAGTAATAATAATAATAATAGTAATCATAATAATAATAATGGTAATAGAAGAATTATCTATCTGAACCAGTTGATTTTATCCTATTGTCATCCAGATACTACTGCAGTATTTCTCTATCTACCAAAACCCAGTTCAGATCTATCCTTGGCTGATGTCTATTTAAGTCAATTGAATATTTTAACTGATGCCCTGCCACCGACTCTGTTAGCACACGGTTTGCATGAGGTAACATCAAGTGAATTGTAATAGTGAATGTAGTAGTCATGATAATAATAACAATAATAATAACATCAGAAGTGGAGTGGGTTTTCTTTTGTTGTTATTGCTAACGGTGGATGTTCCGTCCCATTGTTCTTATTCATTTTTTATACTTTCGGTCTCCACCTCCTCCTCCTCCTGCTTCTTTCTTTTGTTATTCTATTGATTTCGACTTATGCTTGTGTGTCCCCTCTGTCTTACTTCACTTCACTTCACTGTTGTGTTATTTATTGGCTTGAATTAGAATATATATATATTCTCTCCTAGTGGACTATGTTTTAAGTGTACTAGATGAATAATATAATGAAAAAAAGTTGAGATATTGTTAGCCAAGAGCTCTACTACTCTGATTAGTAGTCACTTATTATTTCTAATGAATATAATAGCCATGTGTACATTTCATCCTTTTGAAAACAATAGATACACACGACACACACACACACACACAAAGAGCATTAGATGATAAATAACATACTGTGTTTCTGTCATTTAACTGTGCTTATTTAACTACTTACTCTTACTTACTTGAACCTTTCATCATCATTCATCGTTACTTCCTAACTGATTGTCGCTCACCTCTCCTGCTAAGCACTACTTGAATCGGTTGACTTTAATGTTTTTTTTATCTACCACAATTATTTTGTATTTTTTTTTAAAAAAGAGAAAGAAGAACCGAAAGGTGTGTACGAAACAGACAGAGAAAAAGTACGAATCAAAGCTTTTTTAAAAAAAGAAAAGAAAATGTGTAATGCTTTCACTTTGAGATTAATATTCATCTGTTTTTACGATGTTGTCATTGTATCGTCTTCTTATTTCCAGTATTTTCAGCTTTTCTCTCTCTCTCGCGCGCGCTCGCTCGCTCACTCACTCACTCACTCACTCTCCTTTTGTTTTAACTAATCTGTTTTTTTACGGTTTTGTTTTGGTTTTTACAGTTTCAGTATTCTTCTTTATATATATTAACTGATTTCTGTGTGTTAGTGACTACAGCTTCCGAACGGTCAACCACAACTTCCACTTTCTTTCACGATTATAATACGTAAATTATTTTATTTTAAAGAAAAAACATTATATGAATGATGAATTAACATATTGCTTTCTGAGATTTATGATTATTTAATTACCTATAAGTGATAGTGACTATTGTTATTATTGTTAATATTATCATTATCATCACTATTATTCGTAGTGTTACTACTAGTAATAATACTTTTTTTCAGTTTCATATATCTGCATATATATATATATATGCCTGATTCAAATGATGATTAATTTGACAGTAATAATAATAACAATAACATGTTCTTGTTTCTCATTTGTTTACCTTCACTGTTGAATTCACAAAAGTTGGCATTACCTTTTAGAAAAAAACCAAAAACAATTTTCTATCGAAGAGTATGATTATTCATCTATCTGTACAGAAATGATTTAGACTATCAAGTGTTTGATTTACAAGGTTCTGATTGGTTACAGGCGTTAGCGCCTAGCTGAACCTGTAACCAATCAAATCCCTGCAAACCAACACGTGTAAATTAATCTGATACACATTCATGACTGTGTGTGTGTGTTTGTGTACAGGATAAAGTTCTCTGGAGTTTTAGGAAGCAGTTGTCACAATTGGAGTGCACCATGTCAGTCACTCGTCGATGACGATTGTACTACATGCATATCAAGAATTGGCAGAAATTGAGATTCATGGCCGGTTGGATTGGGTTTCAGTGTGCGAATGGTCTATGAGCTTGCCGTGTAACTGGAAGGGTGTGTGCTACTGAAGAGTTCCAAACTAAGACGAAACAACTGTCCAGTACTTACTGATCTTCCCGTAGCTATCTAACTGATGTCAGCTTGTCATCAAATCTGATTTCAATTAGTTTGTGGGTTGGTTTTCTGGAATATAAAACAAAGATAAGTATAAGTACTGCTTTGAAATCCATCCAGAATGGTCGTCTAAGTATTTTGTGTATAAAAATACTCCTAGGAATGATGCGAACTACTCATAATTCAGGATGTAGATGTTTGGACTTGATTATCCTTTAGGCCTTAATTGCAAGCATCGCTAGTATAAGTCTGAACCTTATAATCACAGCAAATCCCGCAGTAGTTTCTAAAATTGGAGTTCTTATGGTGCTGCTTTAGCTTGCTTGATGTTAGCTTTTAGTCAGAATTGTGTAGGAAAACTATGCTTGGTAACATCCCTAGAGGATGGGTTGGAAAAAGAAAACGAAATCCATCAACACAACCAGCCTTTGCTTTCTTTTCAGTATTCTAGGTAATGCATAACTACTATTAAGGTTTTTATCAGTACAATGCAACAGAATTAAGGTTTAAATAACATTTAACAAATTCTGATATCACTAAGGCGGAAATAAAGCTGGTGAAGAGGAAAGATTGGGCGTGAGGCTAGCAACCCCATCCTGTAAAAATAAATGCTGCTACGGAAACTCCAAGCGTCTAGCTCGAAGCCCTATGTTCCACTGGGAACCTAAAAGGAATAAAAAAAACTGTTATCGGTCTATTAGAAAATCTTCAATATGATCAAATTTTCGAATAACAAAAAATTAAGTTTCCTACCTCACAAAACCATAATTTCTTCTAAAGAAAATGTAAACAATCTGTTTTCAGTTTCTTTCTGACTGACTTTGAGATCTTCATCCGTGCCGTGTGCCTGTAGTTGAAACGATGCTTCCCAGATAAGTGAAAGAAGCAACCTCTGCTAAATCTCGCCCGCTGATGGTGATTGGTGCTGGGAGTAGTTGTTTTTGTTGTTGTTGCTGTTTGTTGGCTGTTTATCATCATCACTTCCGTCTTTTCTATGTCCACTCGCTGTCCTGTCTTCACTGCCAGTTTTCACCTGCCTCTAAGTCTTGAAGTTTGAGTGACAGTAAAAATATATCATTTACGAAATTCAGACCTTCCAGAGACTTCGTATCGATGGTCCAATGTATTCCTGTCTTCTCACTACCCACAGTCTGAAACATAATCCAGTCCACCACAATGAAGAATATCATTGGTGATAATAGGCAGCCAGCTTGTCTTACTCCTGTATACACTTCGAACTCGTCGCTGCGTTTTCCGTTGTGGATTACCTGACACGTGGCATTGTCATATAGGCAACTGTGACTGAATGAGGCTGATCAATACTTGGGGAACGCCGTAGAGTTGAAGTAATTTCGAAATTACTTCATGGTCAACGCTGTGCTGTCTGTCGAAGGCCTTTTTGAAATCGATGAAGGGAGTTGAGGTAGAGAGGGGTTTGACTGGCATTCTATGCTTTGTTCTGTGATGACGATGAGTAGAGTAGCAATTTGATCAGCATGTGATTTTCCTTTCCCGAATCCAGCTCGTTCCGGTGGGTAGTGGAGTTCTGTATCCAGTGCCTCCTTTATTCCCTCCAGGATGATGCGACTCAGTATTTTACTTGGTGTGGAGAAGAGCATTATTCTACGCCAGTTCTTACACAGGCCTAAGTCGCCCTTCTTTGGCAGTTTGATGGGGTAGCCCTTCTTTCCAAATTTTCTGCAGTAATGTAGTGAGAACAATTGCCGTAATCTCTGGGGCGGTCTTCGGTGCTTTGGGAGGAATAGCGTCTGGTCCTGCTGCCTTCCCAACTGGACTTCAGTATCTTGATCTCATTCAGGATTTCTTCTTTCGTTGGAGGATTGGTGTCCACTAACACTAAATTGCCTAGGCACTGTTATCGCGTATGGATAGTATTTGACTTTACAATAGCAAAAATCTTATTCTAGACTGAAACTGTTATGAGTACTAATGGAAAAATTGTCATTTAGGATATTGTCATGCGTTTGTGAGCTTACGTGTTTGTAGTTAAACTAAACGGTTGCTTGTCTGGACTTCAAAATCTTGATTTTAATGTAATGGACTTTTAAGAGGAATGGTTTATTTGGTAGTTTTGAATGGCTTTTTTATTTTCAATAGCCTTGTAGATAATATTTTGTAAGAGAAATAATTATTTCTGTTTGTTAAATTTCTTCACAGAATGCATCTAGAAATTATATTTCGTATAACTAATTGAGGTTTAAATTATTTGATTGATTTGGGGATTTCATCATGAAGTAACATCAGATAAGGAACCATTGGAAAACCCGGGAGTACTAGAGAGCTGTTTCGTCCTAGTTTGGGGCTCTTCATCAGTACTCACTCACCAACAGGGTTCGAACCCAGGACCTTCTGGTTACAAGGCTAGCTCGTAGACCATTAAGCCACCGGGACGCAATCCAATGGCCCATGAATTCTACTTTCTGCTAATTCATGACATACCGCGACCATTTCGCAATGTCTTCTTCGATAAGTTACTGCCTCAGCTTCAACTTGCTGTATCCTACCGGTCACGGTTTCCCATTAGAAGTCCAGGTTAACTGCTTGAATATGGCCAGTCGCTAGTGAGCACTTTAAATTAGTTATCATAAAAAATATTTTGGGAATGTTAATTTCCCTTTCCCCATTAGTTACACTAGATTTACCGACCTTTTACTTGAGGATCTATTGAAAAAAGTAACGCCTAAAGTTTCCTTTCCAACGTTTCAATACGTCTTTTTATGACTTATTAACTCGCCACGTCCTCAAGGGGAAAACGACGATTTAGGCACCTGAGAGTGAGGTGAAGTAGATCGTGTGAGCAGGAGATGAGAGCTTACGGGCAGTCATCGGGTCAGATGAAGAGAACAGGATGGAATAGAGATGTACTGTTGAAGCCCTATGTTCCACTTGGACCCTATGGGAATGTTAAAAATAACCCGTCACACTTCATAAAACACGCATAAAGGTAAAGAGGGAATTAAAAAGGAAACTACAACTAACGGATATTTGTGGGAGACGGAACAGATTCGTCGATGTATATGAGAGATCACAAGTAGTGTGAACGACGCCACCGAGGTAGAACTCAAATAGTTATGGTCAAAAATAGGTGTCCTCGTCAAGTCTTCCACTTACAATGGCCATGTCTTAAAGTCATCAATGTGGACAGAGCG